CCTCCTGGGTTCAAGCGATTCTCCTGAACTCAGCAACTATTTGATAGCATAACAGGGAGACTATAGTCAATAATAACTTAATTGTGCCAGGCGCAGCGGCTCACACCTGTAATCCCAGCACTTCGGGAGGCCGAGGCGGGTGGATCACCTGAGGTAGGGAGTTCGAGACCAGCCTAACCAACATGGAGAAGCCCCATCTCTTCTAAAAATACAAAATTAGCAGAGAGTGGTAGCACATGCCTGTAATCCCAGCTACTAGGGAGGCTGAGGCAGGAGAATTGCTTGAACTTGGGAGGTGGAGGTTGTGATGAGCCAGCCACGTTGCCCTCCAGCCTGGGAAACAAGAGCAAAACTCCACTCAAAATGATAATAACTTAATTGTATATTTTTAAATAACTTAAAGAGTGTAATTGGATTGTTTGTAACTGAAAGGATCAGTCCTTGAGGGCATGGTTACCCCACCCCCATGACATGCTTAGTTCACATTGCATGCCTGTATCAAAACATCTCACATGCCCATAAATACACCTAGTATGTACCACAGTAATTTTTAAAATAATTTTAAAAATAAAACATATTATAAGGGAAAGAAAATTATGAATTTAGAAATGTAAAAGATCTCCAGTAAGGAAGGAATGAGAGGATTATGCAGAAGCTCCCATCATTGCTGGGACTAGAACGGAAGCCCTACCTTTTGCCAACACCCTCTGCACTCTCCCTCACCTCTCAGCGTATGTGAGACGCTACCTGTGCTGCGAAATGGAAGACCTACATCAGTGCCGTTTGCATCGTCTTACCTCTGGACCAGACTTTGGAGTTGCTGAGAAAAGGGATGGTTGGTTGTATGTCTTGATCCCCCCACAGCATTTGGGGCATAGGACACGGGAACTGGTCCGCCTGGTTCACTCCTGTCGATGAGCTTGGCAGTGGTATGTCATGTGGGTGATAGGCAGGGGTGGGGACTCCCCAGGATAATTCTGCTCCCAAGCAAAAGCTCCAGTGATGTGGGAGGAGCCCCAGCGCCAGAGCATGCTGGGAGGTTGTGCAGGGTGGGGCAGGCGCCTGCTTGGCCCCTGCTGTCTATCTGGGGGATACATCCAAAGGCAGCTGTTCCTTATCAGCTCTTGTTGGGAGCAAGGAAGGGCCAATTTGTTCAGCGACCTGTAGAGAGACAGTCCCTCTGGCCAGAGTTTAAGACAGTATTGCCTCACTCTAGATAGAGATTTTATCTTGATGGTTTCATGGCAAGATCAATGTTTCTCTAAATTAATCCCGGGTATTGTTTAAAAGCAACTAAAAGTGATGAAATTATAAAACTTTGAAACTCCCTGAATGTAATGACAAGGAAACTGACATTGTTATGTTAGTCAGATGCTCCTGGCTAGAAGAGAGAATATGAGCAGGGATAAGAGGCATAGCCTACACGCATTTTCCATTCCTGAGGATGCAATGGGGAGAAAAGGGAGGTGGCCACAGCGCATCTGTCACTGTCTCTGCCCAGCTACTTGCTTTCTTTTTTTTTTTTTTCTTTCTTTCTTTTTTTTTTTTTTGAGACAGAGTCTGTCTCGCTCTATCACCCAGGCTGGAGTGCAGTGATGCGATTTCAGCTCACTGCAACTTCCACCTCCCAGGTTCAAGCAATTCTCCTGCCTCAGCCTCCCAAGTAGCTGGGATTGCAGGTGCCCACCACCACACCCAGCTAATTTTTTTGTATTTTTAGTACAGACAGGGTTTCAACATGTTGGCCAGGTTGGTTTCAAACTCCTGGCCTCAAGGGATCCACCTGCCTCGGCCTCCCAAAGTGCTGGGATTACAGGTGTGAGCCACCGCACCCGGCCCCAGCTACTCGCTCGCTACTGGGCTGCACTTCAGGGTTAATAGAGTCAGTTAGTGACTGTAACTTTTGAACTTTTTGTTCAAAGTGAAAAATATTTTAAATAATGCTTACCCCGTTATCTTTCTCGCCATTAGAAAAAAACCTCCCTTCAGACAGAATGCAGAATAAAATATGATAGAAAGTCTATACAGATTCACAGCCTGATTTATGCTACTAGGTTATGGAGGGAAGAAAAGCCTTCTAAACCCTATGAAAGATCAATCTTTCTCTTTTATTTTTCCCTGTGTGCTATTTGATGATTTCCCTGTGAACTTTGATGATTTATTGCCAGAATTCCAAACATAAGATATGAATTTCACAAAAATGGATGAATGGTATCCATTTTGGATATTGGTAGAGGAAGCCAAAACATCCCTTCCTCACTGCACTAAAAGCTGTTGTTTACATTAAGCAAACCTCAAATGTGAACATATTTTTATGCACATGTATTTAAGGGATAAACATTTGCTTTGGGGCAGTACTCTTCACTCCATCTGGAGAGTCTGGGGTTCTGTGATCACCATGTGATGACGGCTGCGCTGACATACCCGTCTGAGCCTCTCCATGATGTGAGCCGTGGGCATCAATGTGACCACGTTCAGAAGGGAAGACAGTTCTGGCAGCTCAAGGTCACCTAGTCAGCCTCATTGGGGAATTGATGACTCAGCTGGGTTCAGGGAGGTGGACCTGAGGCAGAGCCTCCAGAAGGCAGCGGTGGGCAGGGGGGTTCAGGCAGGTGCACCTGGGCAAAGGTGCAGACGTGAAATCCTGAAAGCAGTTCTCAGTGCTCATGGGCTTCCGGGGAGTAGAAAGATGGTGGCAAGTGCAGGATCGGGGGGGACACACGTGGAAGGGCTGGAGCAGTGTGCTCAGGAGACTGGCCTTCAGTCTGGAGGTCTCAGGAAGTGGTGTAAGATGTTTCAGTGAGAGCGTCATACAGACTCGCCCCGGAAGATCGCTGCTTTGTCACTGTACCCTTACGGAAACGTCGTCCGCCTGCTGGTTGACATAGCCCACCATGGTCTGGGACTCACCCACTTAGATTTGTTTGGACTCTACAAAGTATTCATGGCCCTAGAATCACAGCCGAGGACCCCCTGAGTGAGCTGCCTTCATGGCTACGGGGAGAACACACTGGAGTGAATGTCACACCCAGCACACACACTGCCGGCTTGGCCCCGCTCCCCACGCCGCCTGTTGTTCCTGGAATGTGCCAACGTGTTTCAGTCCTGCGGCCTTTGTACGTGGTGTTCTGTTTGCTGGAACGTTCTCCCCTGGGACATCTGTACAGCTTGCCCCCTCATTTCCTGAGGTCTCTCCTGCCCCTTCATCAGTGAGGCCTTCCCTGGCCTCTCCACGTAAAGTAACATCTATTCTGTGTCTATACCTGTTAGGTTATGTGCATTTGTTTCTTTGTTCACGGTCTGTGTCCCAGTTAGAAGGGAGGCTCCCTGAGAGCAGGAATCTGTTTTGTTTGTTTGTTTGTTTGTTTGTTTGAGACACGGACTCACTCTGTCGCCCAGGCTGGAGTGCAGTGGTACTATCTCAGCTCACTGGAACCTTCACCTCCCAAGTTCGAGCAATTCTCCTGCCTCAGCCTCCCAAGTAGCTGGGATTACAGGCATGTGCCTAGTTAACCATGCCTAGTTAATTTATACATTTTTAGTAAAGATGGGGTTTCGCCTTGTTGGCCAGGCTAGTCTCAAACTCCTGACCTCAAGTGATCTGTCTGCCTTGGCTTCCCAAAGTGCTGGGATTATAGGTGTGAACCACCGCACCTGGCCCAGGGATCTGTTTTTGTCTCTGCCGTGTCCCCAGTACCTCAAACACACCATATGGAGCTCCGCACAGGGCGCTCAATCAGTGATGAGTGAGAGATCCCTGGCCTCGTGGGCTGTGGCTCCTTCCACATTTTGTTGTTTAAAGGTTTTTCACTTTCTCAGCATGCTGATCAAGAGTCGAGCCTAGAGGAGAGGCTCGGCAGTGGGCCTGTTTAGTTGATGAATTCAGGCGTATCTTCGATGATAAATGACGTTGCATTTAAAAACAAACAAGTGACCAGGCGCGGTGGCTCATGCCTGTAATCAAAGCACTAAAACGGGCTGATAACTTGAAGTTAGGAGTTTGAGACCAACCTGGCCAACGTGGTAAAACCCCATCTCTACTAAAAATACAAAAAATTAACTGGGCGTGGTGCTAGGCTTCTGTGATCCCAGCTACTTGGGAGGCTAAGGCAGGAGAATCGCTTGAACCAGGGAGGTGGAGGTTGCAGTGAGCTGAGATTGCACCTCTGTACTCCAGCCTGGGCAACAAAAGCAAGACTCCATCTGAAAAATAAAAAAATGTTTCGCTTAAAATTTTTAAAAATTTAAAAAATAAAAACAAGTGAACGTTCTTATAATACATCAGTCTTACCGATTGTGCCTCTTTCCTCCAGGTAGCTTGGAGCTCAGCTGAGCAACCAGCACCATCCGGTCACGATGGTGGACACGGAAAGCCCGCTCTGCCCCCTCTCCCCACTCGAGGCTGCCGATCTAGAAAGCCCATTATCTGAAGAATTCCTGCAAGAAATGGGAAACATCCAAGAGATTTCGCAATCCATCGGTGAGGATAGTTCTGGAAGCTTCAGTTTTACGGAATACCAGTACTTAGGAAGCGGTCCCGGCTCAGATGGCTCGGTCATCACTGGTAAGTGTGCTGTTTCCTAGAAGGTTTCATTTGGAAATGTTTCTTCCTCAGAGAAAACTGTTCTCTTTAGCTGGAAAAGAAGTCACATCTTTTTGCAAAGAAATTTTCGGACGTGGGAAAGTGTCACCTCCAGTGCCGCAGGGCCCTGGAAGCTTCCGAAGCGCGTGTCACGGCTTATGGTGCCTGCTCTTGTGAAAGCCATGCACATGTCAAACAATGCTGAGATTCGGTCACAGGGAGCGGCTAAAATGCACAGACCCCCCGGGCAAGCCCACAGGGGACAGCTAAACATTTTAAAGAGATGTGTGCAGGAGCCTGCATGGGGGTGCTGTTTGTAAGAGGGAAGGATGTGAAACTAGCCGGGAATGCCTCAAAGGGCAACAGATAAATTGGGATGTGTTTATACAGTGACCTACTTCATAGCAATTTTAAAAAACAGACTAAGCTAGGTGCGGTGGCTCATGTCTGTAAGACCCGCACTTTGGGAGGCCAAGGTGGGTGGGTCACTTGAGGTCAGGAGTTCGAGACCAGCCTGGCTAACATGGTGAAACTCCATCTCTACTAAAAATACAAAAATTAGCCGGGCGTGGTAGCACACACCTATAATCCCAAGCAACCCTGAAGGCTGAGGCAGGAGAATGACTTGAACCCTGGAGGTGGAGACTGCAGTGCAGATATCATTCCACTGCACTCAAGCCTGGTGACAGAGTGAGACTCAGTCTCAAAAAAAAAAAAGATTATTTCTTATTAGTATATTAAATCTTTCATCTTTGCATCTGATCTTTTGGGTATTATTCCTAGTTATGTAGACTGCTCTCTCAGAAGGGCCAGACATAAAATGTACTTACTTTAAACTTTACACCCAGGAGACCGGATGGGTGAGGCTGGTTCACTCGGCCAACGTACCTTTTTATCCCTGGTTTTTCTTCCCAGCTTTATTGCTGTAATTGACGTACAATAAACTGCACTATTTAAAGCGTACAGTCTGATAGGCGTACACACACATGCATCTGCGAAACCATCAATACACTCAAGATCATGAGGCAGAATTTTTGCTCCTTGGTTCGGCTAAATCTGGGGTTTTGTGTCATGACCAGGAAAAATTAGGCACGTGGACAGGTTGAAGAGTGAGGAGAGCAGAATGTATTGGGTGAAAAGAAAAAAGAAAAAACTCTCAGCAGAGCTAGAGGGGGTCCTGCCAATGGGCTCCCAGCTTGCAGACTGATGACCGGGCCACTACACTCGAGCTGGAAGCCAGGCTCCTCCCTGCTGCACAAGGTGAGGACTTCTCATGGCTCCACCCCATTCTCCCGGTGCCCAGGTGGTCCCCAGTCCCTTGAGGGCCTGTCCAGACAAGGGAACCCTGGGCAGGTTCTCTCATCTGCACGAGAGCATCTGATGTGAACACTTGTGAGGCAGGTTAGAGATTCTCTGGGGACTCCCCCCTTATCAGCCTCCTGTGTCTATTAATAGTGCCCCAGTCCATCACCCCTAAAATGTGCTTGTGCCATTTTCTAATTCCTCTTTCCCCAGCCCGGTGCCTCCCTGCCTCCCTCCCCCAGTAAACCACTGATCCACTTTCTATCATTCTAGGTTGCCTTGTATGTCCTAGAACTTATACAGATGGACGCATACAGCACATACTCTTTCTAGCCCGGCTTCTTTCACTCTGCAGAATGGCTGAGACTCATCTGCACTGCAGCAAACATCAATAGTACATCCTTCTTCATCCACTGTGTGAATATAGCACAGTTTGCTTCTTCACGCACCTGTTGTACCTGTTGATGAGCATTTAGGTTGTTTCTAGCTTGTGGCTATTACAGATAAAGCTGCTATGAACATTCACGTACAAGCCTCTGTGAGGACCTCTGCTTTTGTTTCTCTTGAGTAAATGCCTAGAGTATGATGGCTGGAACAGATGGTAGGTGTGTGTGTAACTTTTTAAGAAACTGACAAAATGTTTTCCAACATTTTGGAAAAATCTTAGAAAATGCTATACTGTTTTATATCCCCACTGTCAGTATATGGGAGTTCCAGTTCCTCCATACCCTCATCAGCATGAGACATAATCAGTCTTTTAATTTTTTTTTTTTTTTTTTGAGATGGAGTTTCGCTCTTGTTACCCAGGCTGGAGTGCAATGGCGCGATCTCGGCTCACCGCAACCTCCGCCTCCTGGGTTCAGGCAATTCTCCTGCCTCAGCCTCCTGAGTAGCTGGGATTACAGGCACGCACCACCATGCCCAGCTAATTTTTTGTATTTTTAGTAGAGATGGGGTTTCACCGTGTTGACCAGGATGGTCTCGATCTCTTGACCTCGTGATCCGCCCGCCTCGGCCTCCCAAAGTGCTGGGATTACAGGCGTGAGCCACCGCGCCCGGCCCAGTCTTTTAATTTTTAACCATGTCGGTAGGTGTGTGATGGTCTCTCCCTGTCGTGGTTTTAGTTTGCACTTCCCTGGTGATGCTGAGCATCTTTTCTCATGCTTATTTGCCATCTATCTTCTTTGATGACATTTCTGTTCAAACCTTTTGCTCATTTTTTAATTGAGTTGTTTTTCTACTATTTACTATTGAACATTATTTATATATTTTGGATACAAATACTTTATCAGACATGTGATCTACAAATATTTTCCCCAGTATGTGGTTTGTCTTTCTTTTCTTTCTACTAACAGTATCTTTTAAAAAACACGCACTTTTTTTTCTACTAATAGTAACTTTAAAAAATAAACTTTTTTGAGATAGGGTCTCAATCTGTTGCCCAGGCTAGAGTGCAGTGGTGTGATCATGGCTTACTGCAGCCTGGACCTCTTGGGCTCAGGGAACTCTCCGACCTCAGCCTTGGAGTAGGTGGGGCCACAGGTGTGTACTACCATGCTTGATTAATTTTTTCACTTTTTGTAGATATGGAGTCTCATTATGTTGCCAGGGGTGGTCTCAAATTCCTGGACTCAAGCAGCCCTCCCACCTCAGCCTCCCAAAATGCTGGGATTACAGGTGTGAGCCATCACGCCAGATCAGTTCTTAATTTTGACGAAGTCCAATTTATCAGTGTCCTTTTTTTTCATGGATTATGCTTTCTGTGTCACATCTACGATACCTTCGCCTGGTCTAAGGTCATTTCTTGTAGAAGTTTTATATTTTTAGGTTTTGCATTTAAGTCTAAGATCCATTGAGTTAATTTAGTTCAAATACTCGTTTTCTTTCTTTTTTTTTTTTATAATTTGCTTGCAGCTATTCCAGTACAGTTTATTAAAAAGACTTCTGTCTCCACTAAGCTGCCTTTGTATCTTTATCAAAAATCAATTGACCATATATTGCATGTCTATTTCTGTTCAGCTCCATTGATCTGTTTGTCCCTTTTCACACCAATCTCACAGTGTCCTGATTACTGTAGCTTTATAAGAAGGCCTGTAGTCACCTCGCATAAGTTCTCCAGCTTTATTCTTCTCATTTATTCTATTCATGTCTTATCCATGAACATGGTTGTTTCTCCATTTAGCTAGGTCTCCTTCAGTTTATCTTAGTAATGTTTTATAGTTTTTATGATTTTATTTTTTTATCCTATAAGGATATTTTTATGCGCATCTTATTTATGTTATTGTAAGTGATGGTATTGTTTTTTTTACATTTTGACTTCTGATTGTTCATTGCTATATATTGAAACATATTTGATTTTCAGATACTGCTCTTGTATTCTGCATCCTTGGTAAGCTCATTAATTATTTCTAGTAACTTTTTAAGATTATTTAGTATTTTCTACATAGATAGTTACATCATCTGCCATAAAAACAGTTTTGCTTGTTACTTTTCAATCTATGTATCTTTTGTTTGTTTTTGAAATGGAGTCTCACTCTGTCACCCAAGCTGAAGTGCAGTGGCACAATCTTGGCTCACTGCAACCTCTGCCTCCTGGGTTCAAGTGATTCTCCTGCCCCAGCTTCCCAAGTAGCTGGGATTACAGGTGCCTGCCACCACACCCAGCTGATTTTTGTATTTTTAGTAGAGACGGGGTTTCACCAAGTTGGCCAGGCTAGTCTCAAACTCCTGACCTCAGGCAATCCGCCCAACTCAGCCTCTCAAAGTGCCAGGATTACAGGTGTGAGCCACCGTACTCACCCCTCCCCCCCTTTTTTTTGAGATAGGGATTCACTCTGTTGCCCAGGCTGGAGTGGTGTGATCACTGTTCACTTCAGCTTTGACCACCCCCCTCCGACCACTCCATGCTCAAGCAATCCTCCCACCTCAGCCCCCTGAGTATCTGGAACTATAAGCATGTGCCACCACATTCACCTAATTTTTGTATTTTTTGTAGAGATGGGATTTTGCCACCCAGGCTGGTCTTGAGCTCCTGGGCTCAAGCAATCCACCCACCTTAGCCTCCCAAAGTACTGGGATTACAGGCACAAGCCACAGTGCCCAGCAAAGCTATAAATCTTTTATTTTTCAAATGTCATTACATTGGTTAGAACTTCCAGTAAAATGTTAAAGAGAAGTGGTGAAACATCCTTACCTTGTTCCTGATCTTTTGTCTTTTTGACAAGGGGAAAAGCTTTTGTCTTTCACTATTAACATGATGTCAGCTACAGTTTTTCTTAGGTGCCTTTCATCTGGTTGAGGAAGCTCCCTTCTAGTCCTAGTTTGCTATGAGCTCTTATCAGGAAATGATGTTGGATTTGGTAAAATACTTTTTCTACATCTAGTAAGATCAAATGGTTTTTCTTTTTAATGTTAATATGGTGAAATAAATTGTTTTAATTTCAAGGGTTAAGCCAACCTTGCCTTCCCAGGATAGATCTTGGTCACAGTGTATTACCTGCTTTATATATTATTGGATATAACTTGCTGAAATTTTATTAAGAACTTTTGCAGCCATGTTCCTAAGGAATATTGGTTCTAGTTTTCTTTTCTTGTTAATATCTTCGTCTGGTTTTTATATAAGAATCATTCTTGCCTTCTGGAATGAGCTAGGAACTATAGGTTGAAGTATCCCTTATCTT